CAAATATTTGTTTAAAATGTGATTTTGGTCTGCAGAAGTCTTTCCATTTTTATGTTTGCAATTTTATCTCACTTTGCACTTATTTTTACGCATTATTTAGGGTTAATCGCACTGGCTTAATAGGCCATACCCCCCAAAAATCGTGTCCTACGTTTTTTGAGACAAAAAATTATGAGGCGGCGAGAATTTTTATTTGTTGTTGTTAAAAGGCAGAAAGCACTGAACCAACAACAATTAATTTATCTCCCTCAGATATGCAGATAATGACGTTTACATTTGTTTGTTTTTTCCAGTCCAACCAACTCCCCCTCCAGTGGCACAGCGGTATGTTTGCGGACTTACAACGCTAGAATCCGGGTTTCGATACCCGTGGTGGGCAGAGAACAGATAGCCCATTTTGTAGCTTTGTGCTTAATTACAAACAAACAAACCCACCAACTCAGCAACTCATTTCCATAAAAATCAGAGCGGTGATACCCGTCGACCGAAATTTTATTTTGATGTGGCATGAAAAGTGATTTGCTAGTGATAATAGAATCGCGTGTCATCGCAGATGCTGTGGACTGTGACACTCGTATGACATGTTTATCATCTGTATATTTGGTTCACGGTAAATTCCTGACTGTTGGACAATACAATGTTACTACGAGTAGATTTATGATTAGAAGATATGTCACATGCCTTGTCGAACAAAGATGTTTAAATATGTGTGTTTGTTTTTAAGCACAAAGCTACATCATGGTGTGCCGCCATTGGTATCGAAACCCTGTTTTTAGCTTTTATGCCTTCACACTTACCGCTGAGCCACTAGGGGCGTTATTTAATTACTGAGACTGTTAACTGATCTAGGACCACATGCTGCTTATTTATTAACCTGCGCGTATGGGTATTACAAGGTCCAAAGTTCGAGCCGTGATGGTACTGAACACGTTCCGCATTTTCAGCTGTTTCTGCGTTATATAAGTGACAGTCAATCCCATTATTTTGTTCAAAGAGCTGGAAAAATTATTTATGGCAGAAGGTATTGTTGACTGGCTGTCTTGCCTCTGATCGATACTATCAAGTTGGAGAAGGCTACACCTGAACCTTAGGCGACTTTGACCTGACGTTTAGCCTAAATGTCACACATGGTTCCGTTCAGGTTGAAAATTACAATTCTATTTAAATGGTTTCTAACCCAAGAAAAGCAACATTTCCAAAAGGAGAATTCAGAATTTTTCATGGAAGCATAACATTTCGCAGAGTAGAGCGTTTAGACCAGTAAGAGACTCCCAAACCACATCCTAGTCCAAACCTTCGTCAACTGAAAAGTAAAGGACATAGTTACTTAAGAGAATAATTCTACACAAAAGCCATTGTAATGAAGCTGGGCATATCTCCTGGCATTGTTAACAAAATAATAAACAAGAGTTTAAAGTTGACGAAGACTCACTAGCCAAATATAGGAAGCTTCCAGCCGCACTTTGAAACCATCGACCATTTTCTTAATAAATATGGCCCCCGAAAAAAACCATGTTATTCTTAGTCATGTGATGCAGCTTACATGGACTTTTGCGTCTTAATGTGATTAAACGTGGTCTATAGTTTCTATAGTTATGTGTCTAAGAATGATTTCATTTTTATTCGTAGATACTTGTTACTATGGGCACTGTGGTGTCAAGCAGTGGTGCGTTATCGTTACCATTTGACTGATCACGAACAACAATGAAAGGAGTAATTCCATGAGCGGCACGGGACCTAAACATTATCATTATAAAGGGCAATTCATTTTCAGTGTTTTATGAAATTTTTCATTATAGGTAAATTTTTTTTCTTGATATTTTTAGCGTGTTTTTGGCGAGATCATTAAGCAATAAGAAACACTTGCTGCATTCAGTAAATAATTATATATATATAAATGTTGTTTTATTATTGATGCACATGCAGTGCCAGAATCAATGTTGACGCTTAAAAAACGTTCAATATCGTATAAATTTTAGAGATGGACTTCTTGTGTCGATAAAATGTAACGTTCCATCGTAATAGAAGCAAAGGATGTCGCAGAATTTAGTTTTCCTACTAATGAATTAATATTGTCATCAGGATTCATTAACAGATAACCTGCACATATTATTTAACTATAATACTAATGAATTAATATTGTCATCAGGATTCATTAACAGATAACCTGCACATATTATTTAACTATAATGTTAATTGTTATATCAATATTTTTTGCAGTAACCACATCGTATGTAAATTTAAGCACACTAATCAAATTATAGATCTTTTTATCTATGTTTTATTTTCATATTAAATACATACATAATTATGTATTTATTTCCAGGGAGGTTAAAGAAGTCGGCCAAGCTGGAGACTACAAAGGAAGCTGGATCTTACCCTGTCTTGTGGCGCCCTCTCTGGCCACCAGGCTGGAATCCCAGAGGTGGCTCTCAACTCTGTGAGGCTTTTAACATGAGTGAACCCCCTATAGGTAGCGCTACGAATCATGCGACAGGAGACGCCACCGATAGTCATGTCTACGAGAGATTGGAAGCTTGGCTGGATGAGCATCCAACGTTTGTAGTCGATTATTTTGTAAGAAAAGCTTCCCGACAAATGGTAGACGCCTGGCTTTTGGCCCATGCGGTTCCCCAGAGCATTGTGTGTGAAAGTAATTCTAGCCCGACTAGTCCGACGTCACGTCCTGGTTCGGGAGCAGCTACACCAGTTCGTAAAATCTCTGCTCATGAATTTGAACGTAGTGGAATTCTTCGACCAATGGTGAACACAACCATAGATGGAACGCCAACATTCATTTCCTTTCCTCTTCCTGAAGAGTGTAATATACCAGTAGGTCAACGGTCATCACGGAAGAGCCGACAACAGCTTCAAGCGTTGAACGAGAAAGAACTGATATTTGAACTAGTGAAGGACATTTGTAATGACTTAGAAGTACGAAGCCTCTGTCATAAAATTCTCCAAAATGTTAGCATAATTACTCACGCCGACAGGTGTTCCCTATTTTTGATTAAGGGCGAAAAGAATTGTCCAAATCGGTGTTTGGTCAGTCAGCTTTTTGATGTGTCCAGCGATTCTACTTTGGAACAAGTGGAACAAAAGGAAGAGATTAGCGTTCCTTGGGGAACAGGGATTGTTGGATATGTGGCCAAGAGCGGGGAATCAGTTAATATCCCGGACTGTTACCAGGTAAACACAATGTCATAAATTAGTAAAGATTATATTGTGTAATGAGAGTTATTTGAAGTTACTAAATAAGCAGATTTTGAAATTTATTTTTTGATATCCATTTTATTTACTCTCTTTTTATCCGACGTTTCGGTTCTTTTTGAAGAGTTAAAACTGTGTCGTTTTACAGAAACTTAAAAGTCCGCGTAGTTAGAATCAGAAGTTATCTTTGCGTGTTAAAATTATCGTGTTTAAGGATCATGCAATGTATTTAACTGTCAGTTCGAGTTGGAATATTTTTTCTAAGTGAATAACATTATATATGATATTTGTTTTAATAGTAAATTATTTTTGGTTGTGAGCAATTTATTGTATTGACTTTTATTCTGCCCAGTGAATGGGCTTATAATGCTAAAAATTGGGTTTCGTTGTCCACAGTGGGCAGAGCACAGATAGCCAATTGTGTAGCTTTGTGCTTTACAACAAACAAAAAACTAAAACTTTAATTCAACTCTTACATTCTGTGATAGTTTCATCAAACTCAGTAAGAATAATGGCTCATTTATGTTCATTTGTGTTGAATTCGATTATGACTTGTCATTCTATGAAGACAGATGCTTTCCTCAAAACCTCCTATTAGGATATGCAGGGCCGTAGAAATACTTTTTGTATTGAGTGAATGTGTAAGAACCATGTCAGGATACTGGTTAAAATGAAAACCTGAGATAAAGATGAGACTTGCATGCATGATAATGTATTATAGATCAATGTGTATGGGATACTCCAACAGTCAAGCGAAGTGTCACATTATAAAGACAAAGCTTTACTTTGAATTTATAGAGAAAATGGTAAACAAAAAATACGAAGCTTAAGTTTTGGTTTAACCGCTAAGTAATCCTTTTGTGTTGCATGTAAGTATATTTCTGGGGTTATAAAATTAGTGTAAGTTACTAATTAGCAGTGAGGGTTGTGTACAAGCAACATATCTCAAATAAATCTTCATTTTGCCTACGAATAGATCCTCTTTTGCTTTTTCAAAATAAACAAAGATATAAGTAAGTAAAATGTTTGTATAAAACTGCTCTTTGAATAAAACCCGAGATCCTGTGAAAAGTGTTGGAATTGCTATGTTTTACATTGTTCTATTCTGAGTTCAAGTCATTTATTTAAGCCGCATAATATTCCTTAAGAATATACTATCATATTGAATATATAATATATATATGCTAACTATATGCTTTGTAAAAAGTTACCAGATTCAGTTCAACATGATAATTGAGACAAAAAAGGGCTAGAATATCTTGATTCCTTAAGAGTATCCACTAAGTGCTTCAAACTTAAACATTAAAGCTCTAAGAGATGGGATGAAACGTTAGACTTCGCATTTTTTAACTCACAAATCTATTTATAAGATCATTTTGAGCTTCAAACGATCGAAGTATGAATTTGTGATATACAGGCATACCATGCGTTTTTCATTTTCTTATACAGTGAAAAGTTTTCTAAATGTTTCGTTTATTCTGAATATATATAGTTTTCGTATAATACGTGATCCAGGTAACCATCGATTTCTTTCTTGCTGCTTTTGTTACTTTATTATTCTCTAGAGATAATACCAGTCTGCCTATAGTTGATATTGCTGTAACGCAGCACTTTGTGCAAGAATGTAAACAATAGAAGTATCCTTCACTGGTAGGTCAGAGGATATTTCGATCTCCCTTATGTTGAATCCCCTGGTGGGACACGAAAGTCTACAGATTAAAAACACTAAAATCTGGGGCTCGATTCATCGCAGTGGACACAGCAGATAATCCATTGTGTTTTGTTTTGTTTTTTTTCATAAAAATAAACAAACCCTAATGTTGAATGAGAATGACCAGTTATGTAGCAGCCCTATTCGCTATGGATAAATCACACGTTTCCCCTTAAGTAAGAAACAGTTTACACGAGATTTCAATTGAATTGGTTGGCGGGAAAACATCTTGAGGGAAGAAAATATGTTAATAAATGCACGAATCCACAGAAAGGCGGCCTTCAAATGTTCAGTGCAATTACACACTCTGCATTTAGTGTTATTTGATATATTGTTTTTGTTTTTGAATTTCGCGCAAAGCTACGCGAGAGCTATCTGCGCTAGCCGTTCCTAATTTAGCATTATAAGACTAGAGGTAAGGCAGCTAGTCATCACCACCCACCGCCAATTCATGGGCTACTCTTTTACCAACGAATAATGGGATTGACCGTCACATTATAATGCTCCCACGGCTGAAAGGGCGAGCATGTTTGGCGTTACGGGGATTCGAACCCGCGACCTATTTGATATAAATATCCTTTTTATTTTGTATTACACACTATGTCCAGTATTTATATTGTGAAAAAAAAACTGACTAGACAATGCCACAAATGTAACATTTCAGAACCACCATTTTTTGTTTATTTGCTTTGAATAACTGTTCTAGGAGCATTTTTAATTATGGCATTGAATAAGAGGTAACTTTCTTAGATCTCTCAGGTCTGAAACAAAATTACACATTATAAATAAATTATATTAAAGGAGTCATTTATGGAGAAGATGAACAGTTAAAAATCAGTGATCAGCGCTATGAAGTGTATACAATATTAAATCTAAAAAGCTATAAAAAGACAGGTGCAATTTCTAATGTGTTGTGTGACATGTATATTTTAATTGGGTGTTATATACAATCATTCTTCTTTGTCACTCATTACGTCCCCATCTGATTTTGAATTACACCTTTTAGATTACACGCTAGAAAGTATAAGTAAACTGAATGTAATTCTGTTTTCTACTTGTGTGGGGGGCATGGCGATGTTCCGCGTCCTTATCAGACTGATCATTAAGTTACTACCAATTCATTTCATTTTGGAACTGCCACCCAGTGGTACAGCGGTATGTCTGCGGACTTATAACGCTAGAAACCGGGTTTCGATACGCGTGGTTGGCAGAGCACAGATAGCCCTTTGTGTAGCTTTGTGCATAATTACAAACAAACAAATTTTGGAACTGGTCGTAGCCGAGTAGCTAGTGTGCCTGTACTGTGAATCTGAGAATTAATCATTTGCGTCCCATTGCTGAAAAAATGCCCTTGGCTTTCTGAGGTCATATTCGCTCAGACAAATGTTGGCGGTGGGAGCTGAGGGTTAGCCGTCTACCCTCTAGTCCAGCGTTTCTCAGCTGGATTTGCCAAACGACCCCCGCGTCCGGGCTTTTGTCGTTGCAATACTCGTGGAAATCTGCGCGACCCACTGTTTGAGGAACACCGTTTAAGTACCAGATGATGACTTAATCTTGTTGAAATACTGTAGATTTATGATAAAGTTTTTCTTCATTACCCATTCAAGCCGTCTTCAAACTTTTATTTTCTGAAAACTGGGTTCCTCGTCGTCAAATTTAAATTCATCACGGCGATTACTCCAGGTTGTGTAAGTCTAAACTTTTGTCTTTATTATCCTACGTATATCTTTTCAGTATACTTTGATACCAGATGATGACATAATCTTGTCAAAACGTTGTACATTTATAATAAAGTTTTTCTTTATTACCCATTCAAGCCGTCTCCTTCGTGTAGATAGCCTATGTGTAGCTTTGAGCAAACCACTCCCGGTTGCATAGCGACAAGTCGTGGTATTTTAAAGCTTAGGGTGAGAAAAGCACAGATAGCCCATTGTGTACCTTCGCGCTTAACAATAAAGAAACGAAGCTTTGCGCGAAATTCGAAAACAAACAATCTAATAACATTAAGTACGTCTTTTCTGTTTAAGTTAATTACACTGACAGATAACTTTGTGACAGACAAATGATTGTGAATGTTCTAATGGAGAGCGTAATTAGTTACCTAATTCATCGACCGTATGTAACGTTAGCAGATACATTTCACAATGTCCTTAAACAGCTGTTGTGCAGTACAAAGTAAGAAAACTTCGCGTAAAAACTTTCAGTTTTATAGTTAGCACGTAAAAAAATCAACGTAATTTAAGAATAGAAGTATTGTATTGTTACGTCTCTCGTTTGTTAATTTTCCGTAGAAATTCTTTCCG